ATTTGAACTTCTCGCTTGTAAATTCAGTGCCGATATCACTTCTTATGCGCTTCACACTTTCGTAAGGTGCAACATCTCCTAAAAACTGTTTTAATGCTTGTGGTGTATCGCTTTTATGCTTAAGAAAATAGACCATATTCAATCCTGAATAATCATCCACAAACGACAATGCGTATCTAAGCCCTTCTCTTCTATCCGGATCAATAGGACCTGCAAGATCCGTGTGAATAAACTCAATAGGACCTCCCGCCTTTTTATCTTCCAGCTTACTTTTCGTCCGACACATTTTACCTTGCGTACAAACCTCACACTCAACTTCCCTCAAGTCTGTGATTTTCATCCCTTTAACCACCTTCTCTAGTTTCCTAACATCCTTGTAGTTGCAGTGACCTAGAACCTTGTGCCACTCGTAAAGAGAACATGCATTTTTATTCGAAGATGATATGCTATTTATATAGTAAAGTTTGCCTTTTTGTCTTATTCCAAACGTTGTACCATCAGGGCACTGTACATGCTTATCTTGCTTATCTAATTTAACTTTTGCCTCCTTTTCTACGGCAGCATTTACTGAGAATATATTTTGATCGTAAGATGGAACATATAAGGCATTACTTAATAAGACATCCTGCGCATCTCCATGCAAGTCAACTAATTTGACTTTAGCAGTACCTTTACCGACTACTATGTTGGCTTTACTGCCATCTGCTAATTCAATAACATGCGCTTTACTATCAAATTTACTATCAAAATTTATAAATTTTGACTTATTGTTAATAATGTGGCTTGTAGCTCCTGTGTCCACCAGTAGACTTAAATTCGTTTTATTCTTATCCTTCACGTCTGCTTCAGCGTTCTCTTCTTCATCCTTTGACACGAATAAAAAGGAGTGTTGCTGTTGACTGCCACAGCACTGCCCGTCTTTAGCTGACTTGGACGTTTCTTTCGTTGTTCGGCAATTTTTCGTGTCGTGGGTCTTGGTCTTGCATATGGAGCACCATTTGTTCCCCTTCACTCGGCAATGTGAGCATTTGTGTCCTTTTCTTCCACATTTGAAACAATTTCCGTCCAATTTTGGTTTCACATACATAACGTTGTCACCTACCTCAGTTTTTGGTGAAAATGGTTTGATATTTTCTTCGTGACTTCGTAACGAGTTTTTAAATTCCGTAAATGTCATTTGTCTTTCCCTTTGAACTGTTACGGTAGCAAAGACGTCGTACGTGCTTGACAGACCCTTTAAAACCATTGCAATGAGTAGTGCATCACTTATTATCTCCTCGGCTTCTTTTAAGGTTGTTGCCGATCGTTCCCCTCACAATATATAATCTGTGACAACCTCGTCGTCACTTTTCTTCAGCGAAGTGAGTTCCGTGTAAAGAACGATGATGCGAGGTTTTTCTCTGCCTTGATAGTGATGTCTGAGGATTTCTAAAGCTCTCCGTCCATTGTCTTTCGCCTCCCGAATCACAAGAGACAAACTTCTGTAGTCCAGACATTGGACGAACTCTGCAAAAGCGTTAGTCAGTTTTGAAGCAGAAAAAAAAACAAATATAGCAATAACTAAGAGTAAGGCTCTTGAAAATACAACAATTCTTGGAGTATTATAATATGAAAACATTTCATTAAAATCAATAATCAATCTACGTAACGTTATAACACGAAGAATGTACAAATCCTCCAAGGTTAAGCTGGGAAGTTAAAAAATTGAAGCCATTCATGTTGTGATAAACATTTCAAAAATTTTCCAGTGTAGAAACAATTTTTAGGTCCAATTCGCTAGCAACGGACGTGGTACAAATTTTGTGCCCCCCACTCGCAAAATCCTGGCGACGCCACTACCAAAATGTGGTCAAATGCCTAAATGCAGGAAAACTAAAATGTCCAATTGCGTTGTTTTCAGCTGCCATCCTCGATATTCATTTACACGTACAAGTAAAACTGTAACATTACGTAGCTATGTTTGATCTTCAACAATTTTAGTTGTCTATAAATTCAAATTAAACAAACAATTTATGTTGATATTAATATTTTATGACCCTTAGATGCAGTCAAGAGAAGAAAAATTACAACTACTTGCAGAAAATACTTAAAGATGTCGTTAAAAGAAACTTGTTGATTTATTTATCCAAGAGTGGAACACTCATTACAAAAACCACGGAGAATGGAAAATACAAACAGTGGTCAGAAGTTGTTCAATATTGAAATGTCAGAAAAATTTTGTGATAAACAAATTTTGTCAAAATTTAAAGATGGTGACACAAGTAAGTGGGATTGTACGACATTATGTAAAGCAATATTGTTTACCCACTCAATTGGAACAAAATTGATCCAAAAGTTAAAATGCTGTGAATGAAATTCGTAAAGTAAGAAACAAATCGCTCATAATGAAGATGGTAAATTATCTGATGCTGATTATCACACAATGGTTTGTGATATTGAAAACTCATTTCAAGATCTAGGATTTTCATTCACTGAAATTATCAAAATAAAAAGTGAACGAAATAAATTTAATTCTTTTCAAGTACTTCCTTGCAAATCAAATCACGATGTGGTTAAACGTACAGAGTTACTTAATCAAATCACAGCAGATCTCAATAACTTGCGCAGTACTAACAATAATGAACTAACATATTACTATATTTCTGGTAATCCTGGCAGTGGTAAATCTCAATTAGCTAGACAAATTTGTGAAGAAATGTATAACTCGTTTGACTGGGAAAAGAACACGACATTTGTGATGACACTCGAAGGAAAAGATATCGACTCTCTTTTGAAAACTTATGCTGAACTTTGTAAACGATTAAGCAATGATAAAACTGTCATTGAAAATATTCAGAAAGAAGCAAAAAGCAACGAAGACAAAATTAAATATTTTCAATTATTGCTGACACAACAACTGAAATCTTGGCAAACATGGTGGATTGTTGTTGATAACGTGGTTGAACTTCATAAAATTTATCCATTATTACCTCAAGTTGGTGATCATAGCTGGAAAAATGGACAAATTATGGTAACTGTCCAAAATACAGATGCCATACCACCAAATGGAAATCTAAATAATCACATTTCAGTTAGTCATGGTATGAACAATGAAGAATGTCGACAACTTCTATCTGTCTTTTCTGATATTCATAATAAAGATGAAAAATTTTTAAAGGATTTATCAGACAATTTAAATCGTCAACCGTTGTTCCTGGCAAATGCTGCTTCCTACGTAGGTAGTGTAAAAAGTGTAAATCCGACATTCACGTGGGAGCAATATTTTGATAAGTTGAATGAAGGAGAGCGACAGAACATGGATGCCAATTTTCAAAAATAAACTCAGCTTACTTAGGAATGAAAACTGTTATGTTAGCAGTACAAAAATGCTGAAGAATCCATCTTGTTGGAACATGTTTTAAACTTTTCTCAATAATATCTTTCGATCCCTTACCACAAGATGTTATAATACATTTATTAAAAGCATTGATCCACAAAATCTGCAGAAGATGTCTGTCTTCAATTAAAGCATTGTTCTTTATTCCTTCAAACGGAAAACAACGACATCCGCCTGCACAGCGTTGTACACGAAGCCATCATAAATTATTCATCGCAGACCTTTGGCTGTAAACAAAACGAAAATAATTCTAAAAGTCTGCAGCCGATCTTGCCTGTCAAGTTGCTTGGGCACTAAATCATTTCGAAGACAGAGAAGATGAAATCAAAATAATTCCACATCTAATTAAATTCATAACAAATTCATCATTTCAACATTTCCTAAATAAGTTGATCGATGTAAAATCATCAAAACAAAAACTTGATGAAAGAAATTGGAAATTTGCCAAATATTTTGTAGATGTTTTGAAAAGATTTTGCAACTATAAACTTGCAACTAAAGTACTTTATGAAATAACAGAAATTCAAACTAAAGTGTTAGGTGTTGATCATATTGATGTTTCATATTCGTACAACGAGCTGGGTTCATTGCTTTGGGAGAATGGAGAATATGAAAAAGCAAAAGATTTTTATGAACGAGCGATAGAAATTTACACGAAAACATTTGGACCTGACCATGTTTATACTGCGACAACGTACGTCCATCTAGGTTTGGTTTACAAAAAGATGGGAAAGTACGGAAAAGCAAAAGATTTTTATGAACGAGCGATAGAAATTTACACGAAAACATTTGGACCTGACCATGTTAATATTGCGACAACGTACGCCAATCTAGGTTCGGTTTACGGAGATATGGGAGAGTACGAAAAAGCAAAAGATTTTTATGAACGAGCGATGAAAATTAAAACAAAAGCATTTGGACCTGACCATGTTAATATTGCGACAACGTACAACAATCTGGGTTAAGTTTACAGAAAATGGGAGAGTACGAAAAAGCAAAAGATTTTTATGAACGAGCGATGAAAATTGAAACGAAAACATTTGGACCTGACCATGTTAATATTGCGACAACGTACAACAATCTGGGTTTGGTTTACAATGAAATGGGAGAGTACGAAAAAGCAAAAGATTTTTATGAACGAGCGATAGAAATTGAAACGAAAACATTTGGACCTGACCATGTTAATATTGCGACAACGTACAACAATCTGGGTTCAGTTTACGATAAAGTGGGAGAGTACGAAAAAGCAAAAGATTTTTATGAACGAGCGATGAAAATTCAAACAAAAGCATTTGGACCTGACCATGTTAATATTGCGAAAACGTACAACAATCTGGGTTCGGTTTACAGTAATATGGGAGAGTACGAAAAAGCAAAAGATTTTTATGAACGAGCGATGAAATTCAAACGAAAACATTTGGACCTGACCATGTTAATATTGCGAAAACGTACAACAATCTGGGTTCGGTTTTCAGTAATATAGGAGAGTACGAAAAAGCAAAAACTTTTTGTGAACGAGCAATGAAAATTCAAACGAAAACATTTGGACCTGACCATGTTAATATTGCGAAAACGTACAAAAATCTGGGTTTGGTTTACAGTCGAATGGGAGAGTACGAAAAATCAAAAGATTTTTATGAACGAGCGATAGAAATTAAAACAAAAACATTTGGACCTGGACATGTACTGAAATAATATACAACAATCTTCATTTGGTTATAAACAAACTATAGATATTGAAACTGAAGCATTTGGACTTCTACTTATCTTTCATTTGCTAAAAGCTAAAATACTCCTGTCTTTGAGAAAACGTACAAAGAGATATAAGAAGAGGAAATGAATTTGTAGCTCATTTTCAATGAAGAAGAAAATCAATTTCTCTTTTCATTTTAGGTATGTCTTCTTTATACTAAAGCTGATTAGAAACAGTTGTATTGTAGATTTCTTTTAACAAAGGTTCAAATAACAACAGTTGTATATTTATAAAAGATATAAATATATTATTGACAATATTCAAACATTTGTATTTTCAAGTTTTCAACTGTCATTTATTTACTGGAACAGTTTTTATTAAGAAACTTGTATGGAACTATCAAAGTATATTTATGAGTTTAGTTTGCAATATCTAGCTATTCAGAAGTTGTGAAGTTCCTTAAAATGAATGTTGTTGGGTCATTTTCTTGTATAATGAGAGTAAATACTGATCTTACAGCAACCATGATCATGTAACATCCCTTTTTGAAATGCTGAAAAGCCCACAAGATTTGCTTTGCTATATAAGTATGAATACAGTCTTTTCTATATTTATTTCTATTCATTCATATAATTTACAAAATATAATTTCTATTTATGAGAATTGTAGTTTTTTGAAATGGACATGCAGTTATTGTTATTTGATTCAATCATACTTGATTTGGGGACTAACACCTTAATTGTTTTGACAATGTTTGTTTTTTTTAACTTTGGAGGAAATATTTATTTAATGATTGATTCAATAATACTTTATTATAGTTCAAACTATAAAGGCAACTTAAAGTAAAAGTTATAAATAACCTGAAGAAGAAAAAGCAGGACATTGCCATAGCATTGACAGAAGTGAAAATGACACATTTAACTGTCCGACTACAAGATTTTAGACTGCCAGATTTTAGACTACAAGATTTACTATTATATAAAAAATCCCAGCAGTGGTGCAGGATACTTGCATATATGAATTTGTGCCCCCCCCCCTAATTAACATGTCTAAATCTGTTGAAAACAATGGATTTCAAAGGAACTTAATGTGGCAGAACATGAATACATGAATATGTGCCTCCTACCCAAAATAAAGAGTCTGCTATGTCATTTATTACCAGGGTATCTTGAAGAGCTCTGGCATTGTGTGTAACAGTTAGTATTTCATTTTGCAAGGAACTTCTTATTTTTTTCCAAAATATTATTTGAACATTAGAGAAATTGTGTACAAACTATAAAAAGTTTATATTAGGAATATATTTCTAGGGCAACACCCTCCTTTAAAGTATGTATCCATGTTCAGGAGTGAATGACATGACCAGACATTTTTGGCTAATGTCTTTACAACTGATAAGAACAGTAAATGACTCATTTCTACTGGTGTCTTTACTACTGATATGGACAGTAATGAGTCATTTTCATTGCTATGACATTCATGTCTTGGTTTTGCTTTAGTTTATACCTTACATTGCTTTAAAACTGATTCTCTCAGCTACATAAATGATTTTATCACAAAATCACAATACAAAATGTTGTGGTTATCTCTGATCCTAAGAAAATCAAATATAAAGTAAAAATGAGATTTACTACATCTAGATGTAGGCAAAAAAAGAACATTGTCACAACAATTAAGGTGTAAATTCCCAACCGTAAATAGAAAGAAATGTTTAATCAAGTAAGCAAACTATTGACCTTCTCTCTGCGCACAATTCTTTTAAATACAAATTATATTTTACCATTAATCACAGTGAACAGAAATTTGTATATTTACACAGCAAAGCCAATGTTTGGGCTTTTTAGAAAACTTACTAAGCACTATAAATTTTACATGTATATAATGCTCATGTTAAGATTTTTCTTATTAAACAACAAAAAGAACCAAACAAACACTCCATTTAAACCTTTGCCTACAGAAATTGAAAATACAACTGTTGCTGGTCAGCTAAAGGAGAAAGAAAACATATCCAAAAGCCAAGGCTAACAGAGAATCTTGTTCCTTGAAATGGAGCCACAAATCCATTCCTTTCTGTAAAGACTAAGCACAATAAAATCCTTTGCTGACAAGCGATTTGATAGATCTGGCATTGGTGACCACCTGACAATGTAATTTATCTTTATGTATGTTTTAGGTAGTGATGTAGCCAAGAAAAATGGAGCTTTTACTCTAATTATGTGTGTCTGGCCCATATTTACTGTTGTCATCTCATATGTAGTGTAGTGAGTAACGAAAAAGTAATTGAACAACAAAATATTTATTTTCATAGCACTGGTACACTTGCTATACACTACGAGTTGTCATGGTGTTATTAAAGGCTGAATTCTGATATCTTCCTTTGATTCTTATTTTTATTTTCCGTAAATTATACACGTATTTAATAAAATATACATTTAAGTTGATTTATCAAAGGGAACCCCACGGTCTGGGGATCTAAGTTCTTGATACAGGGTGTTTCAAAAAAAGGTAATCCAACTTTTACTTGCTGATGCGTGTAAATTACTGAATAAATAACTGTAGTTTTAAATATTTACAAAAAGAGTTCTTGGTTCTAGCTATGGAATGCTATGTTGTTTGTTGCGATTTGGAAGGAAAATGAGTGAAATGCAAGCGCATTGAAAATATTTTTGGTCAATGTCGCATTCTTTCACCTTTGAGCATTTTTCCATCAACATGAAAGGTGCTTCACTTTGATTTTGCTGGTTTGTTGACTGACTATCACATATTTCATGGTGATGTCTCATTTTTCAATCTTGACAATATTTGAAATTATCTGACATTTACAATTTCCATGATTCAGCAAAAATTGATCCTCAAGGAGCCTTAATTAAACGTAGTTAATTACATAATAAATTAATAACTACATACGTATAATATAGAAGCTACAGTGCATTAAAAATCCCAGTCAAGAAACTTATTTTAATTACATTTATACCTCATAGCGTGGAGATCAATCATTGCCGCTGAATCATGCAAATTTCAAACTATCGGCTGATTTCAAAGATGATCAGTTCTTTTGAGACATATTGTAAGATATTTTGATTACAAAAGAAATTTTGCAAAGATCATCAAGTGTACGCTCACTACGCTGAAATCGATCGAGGTGTTTAACTACACTGTGAAGCATTTGGAAGAAATAAAAGCATAGAGCACTGTTTTACACGCGGTTAATCAAGTTGTACTAGATTGTACTAATCAAGTTGGCGTAATTTTATTCATCTGTAAAGAAAATGAAATTGTGTAAAGTTACAATAGCTAAGTTAAACACCTGAGATAAACATAACTTTCTCATGAGTTTATTTTGTTGCTGTAAAAATTTTACCATTATAAATCGTTGGTTAAAAGTGACTTGTCTTTCGATCAATTGTCGAGACATGAATCGTGATCTAAGAAAGAAAAATGCTCAGGAAAACGTTTTAAAACAGCCAAAGACCAATAAACTGTATTTGACTTGGAGACACTGGAGATTGAAACGTCGCTAAAGAAAAAATTCTTTTGATTTCCCATTCATAGCTTGCCATGTAAACGGCCTGGTGGAATCACAATATATATACGTCTTGTAAAATTACTGTCAAAAACGATGAAGGAGGAAAAAGATACTTACCATCTTAATATTTCCTCAGTTATAAAGCAGTTCCGACGAAGTAGAATATCAATTCGTAAATAGCTCAGCCTCAAGGGAATGGTGAACAAAAGCCAAATACGTTTTCATCGTGGTCAATAATCAATTTCTTTATTTATATAAGTCCTCCATCATGGTGAATTAAAACCACAAACATTTGTTCTATGTTTCTCGATCGCATTAACAGAAAAATGTTCACGTCTAAAATAAAGCAAAGAATTAATATTAACAAAAACGAAAACTTTATAAGAAGATATATTTAGGTCACACATTTTGCATAAAGATATTAATGTCGTTTACATTTCACACTTCAATCAAAGAGAGAGTTCTCTCCTAACACGAATATCAAAAATCACATTTACCTGAAAATGTTATGGAAAAAGTCAAAGATATATTTCGCTCTCGGCAAATATTCTTCGTGTATGTAGGAAGGTAGAGATTTAAATAACGCATTGAAAGTTTGAGTTTATCTTAAAATATGCCCCAAGTTGCGGAAAGCGTGTGTTTTCTGATTGGTCAGTTCTTAGGCGTGTACTTAATTCTACATGGTACACAAGTAAAAATGACTTGCTAATTGCATCTCATTTCTTTTTGTTTTTCATGAGCCAACGCTTTAATTTTTAAGGTTTACTGCTTGCGTAAAGCCTGGTTCACATATGACTGAGACATGACTGAGGCATACCTGTGACGATGCCTGCGTTGCTCTTAAGGCAAATGTAAAAACTCATGGCTGACACACTAATGGTGTTTCAGGCAGTCGTAGGAGTTACCTGCAGTATACCGCTGAAATTCCATTATAGTTGAGTTGTGTTCAAGTTTCCCTGCATGTCGGCGGCTTAACGGCGGTGTACGGAATATATTTTGGTTATTTATGTTAAATGTGAACAATTCTCAGATTGACCGGCGGCAATATTTCCCATCATGCATTTGGGTAAAAAGATGGCGGATGAATTTTCAACACAGGACATGGAACCAAAAAAAGACTCAATGGAAAAATTCCGATCACTTTACGATAAAAATAAAAACTTATGGATACAATACGCAACTATCGGGCTATTTATGATAAATCGTGTCCAGAGTACAAAAATCAAAGAGTAAAATCCAAATTATTTTCTTTTTTTCAAACCGGCTCTCCCATCTTTGATGTATTTTGAAATGATTGTTAAAAGGGCCGCATAATTTGCTATTCTCAATTTACGAAGCACTATTTTGTCAAATTCAAACTGCCGCTAAATTTTTGTGGTCAATCGGCGATTTGAATTATGTCATTAAAAAGCATCGCAGACATGCCTCAGGTCTGCCTCAGCCACAAGATCAGAAAGCATCTCAGGCTTGCCCTTAATAATGCTTCAGTCATGTCTCTGTCATATGTGAACCAGGCTTAAGCAGAAAATTCTTTATGTCGTTAAAGGTAAGGTTCTTTTAAACGTCGCATTTTACATGAACCAAATGCATTAAAACAAAAGAAAATGAGAAAAAATCCTCGATATCTTTTGTTTTAAATGCATTCGGCTCATGTAAAATTCGACGTTTCAAACAAACCTAAGATAAATAGTAAACTCAATGACATAAAAAGCACTTAAAAAATGGCGGTATTTTCCGAGAACTCGAATATTCGTTAACCGCCTGAACGTACATTTCGACATTAATGTTTGTCATTATTTAAAATTTTCTGATGAAGAACAGTGCTAATTTTGAAAATATATAAGCAAATAACATAATGGTAAGGAAACATTATTTGCTTTTTAATTCATAGGTTAAAACGTTTTCAAAGGCAGTATTGAGAAATGTCTTCGACGAGGATCAGGGCATCTCATTACTAAGATATAGTGTAATTTATATTTCAACTTTTTTATATACCATTCCCAAATTTTTATTAATTGAAACGTTTGTTTGTTCAGAGATTTGATAGTAGACACCAATGTTCGATAGATTAGTGAAACGCAGGCAATAGCGAGATGTTTTTGACATTATGCAGATACATAACATAGAAAATGTAAACAACAAAGTTGTAGTGGTTGTGTTGGCAAAACCTTGTTATGGTGTTGTGTTTTGATACCCAACATTTTGAGTTCTCACCCATTTTTGTCAAATTATATCAATCATACTGGTATTTTGTAATTGTCAATCATAAAAAAGCAAATCCTTACGTACTCATCGAGTGCCTATTTTTTAGAAATTATCATTGTATAAAAAATGTTTCAATGATACATCCTGTATAATTATTAGAAGGAAACTTTAAAATGCTTATAAGCACATCAAACAAACAATTTTCGAATGCGTCAGCAACCAAGCTGGTGAAACGGTAAATGAATTGAAGAAATAAAAATTTTATTAACGTGAAAGTTGTTTAAAAGTCCCTATTTGTTATTCGGCTTATTTTGATATCTATGTTGCATGCTTCGTTGTTTGTCCGTCTATGCTTAATTAATCTTTTGCTTGCATTTATGTGTCTGTTGATATCGAAAATAATGAGTTACAATGAAAAAATGTCAGTGGTCCAAAAACAAAAGACTATTTTATGAATAATAAAAATGACATTGTTTAGTACATGCAAAGAAGTTAAGTCAATTGAACAAAAAATATTTCTTGTGATCATTTATGTACATTTATACCTGGATTAGATGGCAATCCTTGACAGAATAGCGAAATTGTGATCCATTATGATCCATTATAAATTACTGGAACTCCAAAACCCTTTCGATTTGTGCTATAAAAATATGAATGTTTAAATAACAAAGTTTAACCATGGGCGGCCCAAAAATCACTGAAATTGTATAAACAAACGATAACTCGCCCCATTCCATCGTAACAAACCATGCCCCGCAAACTTTGTATTGATTGATTGTATCTATATTATATATTTACCTAAAAATATATTAATAAATAATAAAAACAAATACATAAATGAATATATAATATAGATACAATTAATCAATACAAAGTTTGCGGGGCATGGCCTGTTACAATGGAATGGGGCGAGTTATCGTTTGTTTATACAATTTAAAGGACATTGGCAACGAAAATTTTTATGGCATATTTTTGAACCTTTGTGATGTCTAACAACTAAAATAGAAAAATTTTTCCTCACAAATATTTTGTTGCTGAGATATTTGCAGCAAAAGTTTTATAAATTGCGCCATCTTGGATAAAATTTTGAAAAAATTTTCTCGAGCGGTAGTGACGTCATTGGCTGGTGAGCAGTCAAAACAACAATACAATATAGTTTGTGATTGACTCCGTTACAACACATTTAAAGCGTATTTTACGGGATTTTTTTGCTGTAACGGATGACATACACGAAAATCAACCGGGTGAGGTTCTGCCCTATCAATATGAACCTGAAATGAAGGCCGAAACAAGCGAAGAAAGCGGTTCCGAACAGGAGAGTGAGCAGAGCGCCTTGTCCTCGTCGGAGGATGAAATACATGCTGTTACAATGGAAGGGGGCGAGCTATCGTTTGTTGATACAATTTAAGTGATTTTTTGGGCCGCCTTTGGTTTAACCTCACAAAGTTAAATCTATAACAAATGTGCTTCGCCAAGAAAATGCTCTAGTGAAAAATGTGAAATATCTATTTCATCAAGATTTCAACGATGATAATATACCATCAACGTTTGGTGGTTATATTGTTTACCTCTGACT